ATATTGTTGAATAATTAAATACATTATTTGTTGTTATGCGTTCTCTGTGGCGTAAATTTTGTATTACTCGTATAGGGTACATATGTACAGATAGGACGTTTTAATAGTTTTATCAGACGTCGTTGAATACTATACGTAACCAAAAATAAAGCAAACAAGCTATGTATAAGGTATCACTACACACATAAAAAATAATAATTTAATACTCAAATGTGGGAGAGCCATGATTCCGCACGAATGTGTCTGCTCGAACGGAGTGATAGTGATAGTGGCCTCGGAGAAAACCCGAGTGAACTAACTAAAGTCCCAAATCCCCGAAACTCTAATCCTTAAAGGGATGGCAACGGACTCATAACTTCTCTGGTGATAAGGGTGTCCATGGGCGTCACCGATTACTTACCATTAGGGAGTACGTATCACATAAAAAGAAAATTTTGAAATCGTTGTTCCACAATATTACAATACCGCCAACGTATCTTGGCGAGTCTAAAGTTAGTTGATTAGCTCCGCAGTACACAATTTTGTTCCTAAAATATCCATTGCGCAGACAAACGGTTAACTTTAGACTCACCAAGATACGGCGGCCGTACTGTAATGTAAGATATCCACGGACAACGTTAATAAAATACAAACAAAAAATAACAATAGGTATAGTACCGCGCTAATGGTATTTCCCTGTTTAAAAATAACGCGCTTTCGTGCTAACATTGTGGTAAAAATATGCTTTTGCGCCATTCAAAGAGTTTAAAGGATTAGATGGCAGCACTGGGCTTAGTTAATACGTCCGTATGTACATGAAAATAGTCGCTCACGCCACTACGAGTATGCTAAGCCTTATAACGAGTTATGCATCCAAAATTAACTGCTAAAATTTAAATTGGGTTTACAAAGTAATTAAAACTGCCTTGTAATTCAATTACGTTTTTACTAATGCATAATTATTTTCTTCTATAATAATAATAATTTTATATTACGAGTATATCACAGTCTTCACTTTAGCAAGTGGATTAATATAATAGTGTTACACAAATTGAACCGTTAGGCTATACGATTAAAGTACAATTTGAAATAGAAAAGTAATAAAACGATACAATTTGCCTACGTGTTCAGGTGCCTTTTGATAAATTAATGATAACGTGTACTAATTGCGTGACGTCTACGTTATTTAAATTATTTATTCATTAGGTACCTGTGTTTGCAGTGCACTACATTCAAATAAATATTTACTATGCTTACGTAGATATAACAGATATCCACTTGTATTATATATCATACTTATTGTTTTAAATCTTATCAAATAACTATAGTATTAAATATAGATATATTTAGGCAACATTTGACTAATAATATAATTATGATTTGAGATACAAGCTATCAAATTTTTACAAAGGCCTCGCTTACGCAATTTCGACACATTTTAAGTTCATACGTTATACACTGCTCATAATATTAATATTATTTTTGTTTTAATACGGTCTGTTGCTTCAATGTAAGATAAACACGCGCCGTATGTGCGTTAACGAGGCCTAAAAGTGGGAAACATAGTTTGTTTATGAGATTAAGTTGAATGGTATTGATGCCTTTACATAAGATAATTATTACATAACTTCTTTATAAATGTTTTGTACACAAATTTATTTTTAGTGTAGGTAAGAAACTTCGTATATCTACAAAGCTCTAAGTAATGGGTTGGCGAGGATTTTGTGATGCGGACAGCGGCGTGGCCTCTATGTGCTCATGACATGTCGAGTATATTAACAACTATGTTTTGGTATGCATAGTTAATTACTTCGTACAAAGTTTATTACATTATGGGCCTGTTTTACCACCCTCACATTGTAGGAAATTGTAAACCGGGAATCACTAATTCATGTCATGTTTTGATGAAAAAACTATTTAATTTACATATGCATTTATATGTTTTTCTTATAATAGGTATGCTAAATATTATTTTGTGTTCAGAAAATTATTTCAGCAAAAATAAAAATAACTGACTTTTCCATCGAGTTATGACTATTCATACATTTACATGTTTAATTCATTTTTATGTTTACAATTTTTAATTTTGACAAAAAATCGCAAGCCGGTTTCAATATCTCGCATTTTCTTTTTACGACCTCTATAGAGTATTACGTAATTAATTTACTATTTAGTAGTTAATTCTGTTTAGCATGCTTAATTTACATATTTATAATTAGCAATTTCATGGTATTACAATAATTGACTAGAATATTCAAGATTAATTCATGTAACAATGACTAGGCCATCGATTATAATTAATTATTACAATACTTTAAGTATCTAATATCAGCTAATATTTGGTATTATATCGTATATGTAGGTATCTAGAAATGTATCAACTTAATACAAATAAACGTAGATGAGAGAGAATCCCTTGGTTCATATCTCAGTAAATTAAACCCTATTTTATTTACATTTGTTTTGAAAACTAAAACGTTAAATCTAACTGTTTGAATATATATCAATAGACTAGAAAAATAAGTCACAAATTCGTATGACAAAGAGATGATAAACTGTGCCCCGACTAGTATGTACTTACTGAAACATTAGGCTATTTTCACATCTAACAGCATACGAGATAGTTTTCTAGTTATAAATAATGTAGTGAGGGATGGAAAACTACATAACAAATGAAGTAAGTACTTCAAAATAAAAACTTGAACAAACATATCGTAGGTAGTTCTCAACAGTGTAAAAAAGTTAAACCTAATAACATTAATGGAAATTAACCCAACACAGCCATCATTGCAATGACTTTTGGTGCAAAAACAACACTAATTATTTGTATTACATACTACTTAAACGCAATTGATCCCATTCCAGGCAATTCATAATAATTAAATCTATGCATGAATGTATGCAGTACTTATTCTATTGAATTACTTAGATATAATTGAACTACAATATGTGAATACGATCAAATCACCCACCGTAACATGTCAGTTCGCTAATCGATTACTAATTAAACAATGTAATGGACCCATTCATTTTGCACAGTACATCACTTTCACTCACTAAAACACTGGAGTCAGTTTCTTAGCAGACCGGGGAGGTGATGGTCGTGTGTTCAGGGCTGAACCGCCGCGTGGGCGAGACTTGTCACCCTCAGAGGTAGTTAGGCCGCGACACACAACACAGCACTCCCATGCCTTTGTACAGTGATCCTCTCCGCTTGCTCCTCCATAGTCCGTTCACGTCGTCGCCTTTCAACGCGATGTTGCTCTCTGAAAAAGACGGCTACAGTTACTCGTGTTTGTTTGCCTTTATGGGAAATTGTTTGTGTTTCAGATAGTTTCGACTGGCATGTAATACGTTTGCTATAACGGAATAACTTATTTTTTATAGTTTCTTGTGTTTTTTTTATATTGAGTGTATTGCACTTGAGTGTTTATGAACATATATAAGATAATATATATTAGAATGTTGCAAAACGTTCTTAGAATAACAAAGTGTATTACAACAATACAAATTTATAAAAAAAAACTCATTATGAGTTATGACGCACTCATTCAAAAAACGGCCCATAATTCAATGTTAGTATAATATTTGAAAGTACTAATTATGCAAAAACCTTATTCATGATTTCTTATAATGAGTGACGAATACAAATGTAACCTGAAATTATTTTTTGTGGCAAAACACAACACAAACTCCCATTTAGCGTGGCGATGACTAGGCGTGTTATTTCCCAGTTGTGAGCATAACTTCCACGGAAAGGGCTTTCGCAGCGTTAATAGTCTGTAACTACATAGATTATGCTTAAGGGAACAGCTTTATTCCGTAAGTAGATATTTAGCGGTGCGGCGAACGATAAAATACCGCTTTTTCCGCACTCAGTTTTTGTCTTACATCGAGCGTTCTTAATGTCAATGAAGAGACTCTAAGGTGTTGCGTTGTTTGTACGACTGCATGCCTATAGCTAACTTGTTTTATGTACAAATAATAATATGTATTAAAATAATGTTAAATTGAAAAGCACATTTATAATAATTTATAAATAATATTACTGCATCTTCTTTAAGCTGTGTCCTTCTGGGTCCATATTGAGAGAAATCCTTATAATGTACAGTCAGCTGCAGAGAAAAGGATCCCCTTATGCAGATAGCTGCATACATATTTGTACTTCATGGGGGGTCCATTTCTCTGCAGCTGACCGTACCACCTGATATTTAACATATGGAATGCTAATAAAGAATTTGATTTTGAAATTGAACTTTTTACAGTTTTCTATAATTTTCTTTATTGACTTTTTCTTTATCTGTTACTGTTTTGTCGACAAAAAATTTGTCGTATATATATATATATAGGTATGTAGATAGAAACCATAATCCTTTAGTACGTTATTCTTGTTTTGTTTAGTACACAGCATTAGTGAAGCGTTGTCTTAAGAGGCGTGGTAGAACAATGGCCGAGCTACACGTCTGCTTACAAGCAATTATGTTTAAAATTGAAAACAACAATTTTGAATGTAAATGGGTTGAATGGCATTCCACGTAATGCACTGGAAATTTAACATTTGATCTGAATATTATTTTAAATTAAACCCCCGAGAGCAGTGTTTCACTGGAATAACAAATTAATGTTGCAATTAATTTTAAATAAATATGTGGAATGGCTGTGTTTATTTCTTTTACGTACTTCGTTATTTTGAGTTTATACATTCGATCATTAACTTTAATTGAACTGCTTTGGGTTATGGGGTTTTGTGTATGGCCCTGAGTATAATTATTCTATTGTTCCTTTTCTGTCGATTAATAATATCCCATATGTATATACATATATATGTATACATAGACTTTTGCCTAGTCAACTTTTACGTAAGAATATGACTATTGTTAGATACAGTCCGATGTCTAAAATATGACAATTTATTTAACTGCGAACCACTTATACGAACTTGAAAGTTTGTAAGTATGAATGGAGTTTCCTTATCTAAAAACTACTGAACAGGTTTCAATGAGAATTGGCACAGATAAAGGTTATAGTCTGAAAGACATAGGCTCCTTAACCTGGGACCATGCACGAAGGCACCATTGGAAACTAGTTTGGAATATTGCTTGACGGTTTTCCAGGGCACGCAGTGAGATCGCTGCATGCAAGTACTAGTTACGATATTAAGTAGTTTTTTTGTTTTAAGATTTACTGGCCAGTTTCGAATTCAAATTATTTTTGTCGATGTGGCCCGGAGGTTAAGGAGCCCGCTTCTCATGCATGAGGGTGTGGGTTCGGCAAGTACCAATGTCACTTTTTCCGAATTATATGTACTTTCTATGATTTTTTAGACACCACTGACATACGGTGAAGGAAAACATCGTGAGGAAACCTGGACTTATAATGTCAAATTATAAGTTTGAAATCGCCAACCCGCATTGAGCAAGCGTAGTGATCAGTGCTCTAACCTTCTCCGTATGAGAAGAGGCCTTTGCTCAGCAGTGGGCACTTACAGGTTGATGATGAAGATTTACTGACGACCTCAATACAGTTGAAAAATAGCAAGGAACAAAAATAAAGTTAATGTTGTTTTACCACAGTGACCTTACCTTACCATTTACCTACGTAGAAAGGATTAAAAAAACTCTTACCTAAGTGGTTGAGATTTTCATGCTGTGGCAAATATTCCTGTATATCGTTAACTATTCTCGTGATCTCTTGCGTGTCCTTCACGATGCTGCAAAGCTCCTCCTGGTTGAAGTCAGGAGTTATCTGCTTGCACAGTAGGATCTGGCTTATCACGTTGCCAAAATTGGACGGACCGGCACGGTTTTCTGTGAGAAATCAATCAATTTTAAACCTTGTTATAATCTGATTAAAGTTCACGGGAATGCAATAAGATAAGTATAAAAAATCTTTTCAGTTGATTTCAGGAAAATAAATCGAAATTAGAATTTTATTTTAAATTGCAATGAATATGGATTAAATATAACACGGATTTTTAAGTACAAAAAATTCATACACAGTATTACTATTAAATATTTATAAACAAAACAAAAATATTTTTAAATTGTGTACATTTTTTAGCTCATCTTCATCATTTTTTAAAATGATGAAGATGAGCTAAAAAATGTAATACGAGACAAGTGTTTGGCATTCCACTTCAAAAATTGTACTAATGTAAACCACTTAAAGTAACAGCCGTTAAATATTAAATTGAAATTGTTATTTGCACAAATCAAATATTGGAGTAACACGAACGATTTGATTGGAATTGGAATAGTATTTCAATATCTACTAGAATTGAAAACTAACAGAATATAGCATGGTATTGACTTCATATACATATATGGGTGGAGTGTGGACAGTCATGATCAAGGGCAACAAGGACAATAACCCCAGAGAAGAAAAGTAAAAGTAACATTTTGTGAGAATAAATAATTTTATTCCAGTGTAAAAATATAAGTAAGTATATAAATTACCGAAAGTTTACGAACACATTCGTAAACCCACGTACTTAATTTGTCAAGTCAAACTCATACACACAGAACTCCGACCAAATTGGAGTTTAAATCCAAACGTCATCTCCTAAGTTGGTATTATCTTCGGATTCTAACTGAATAGGCTTTGAAAGGAGAGATTAAGAACTTATATACTAACGTCTGCAAAGCTGGCTTGAGTTTCAATGCAATTGCAGGTACAAGTCCCCACATAGTTACAACCGAGACCGTGAGTGTACCGGCCGCGCACCATTGTTAATGTTCACAGGTATTGTGTCGTAAATATCTTGGATCTCGACAACACTAACGCTGCTCCGCATCGGCGAAAATAAGAAACATTATTCCCACAAATTTTGGCCAAGTCCAACATAACGGCTGGTGTCTTTAGCAGTGATTAATTGCCACTAATTGTTCGTGGCGGCACGCTATTAAAATGGTACTTTTGTTGTTCAATCTAGTGGCAGCGGAAGAAAGTGTGGCACGCCGCTTAAGAAACGCTGTTTTCAATTAAGAGCTTAAAGTGCCTCGTAAATACTCTAATCGTGATAAATTAGAAAGAAAACCAGAGCAAATGTGTGGCAGGAAACGTTAACAGACATAATGTGGAGAATTAAAAACCAATATCGATACAGGGTTTTCCAATACCGGTTAGCCAAAGCTCTAAGAGGCGCCGAAACGGGTCGTTCAATCTAATCGACAGGTGAATCACTTATTGTCTGCCATCCCATTACCCTCAGTTCCCTCTAAGCGAGGGAAGATAAACACCTGTTTCTAATATACTTTACGAATTCGTTTCTTCTGAATCATCTCGAATGAAAAAACTTTTGTTACAAATGAATTAATAATTCGGGAATACCAACAGTGTTTCAGGAATATTTTCAACTTTGTTTTCATTTGATATGCTAATTTCTTTTTTTTTGTTTAAACGTAGTTATAGAACAGTGAGCAGTATTACAAAATTCTCGGTTCAACCGAAAATTATAATCTTAACTTCGGTGAATAATTAATTAACAGTATTTTATAAGAGAAGCTATTGTTTGTGGTTGTCTCGGTCGTTAAGCGATGGCCGAATACTTAGGCTGTACGGAACTATTTTTTGGCGTCTAAACAGGTCTCAAAGATAATACTAAAAGATGGCCTGTCAAGCTGGGTAATTATTACCCAGCCTTAGCTTCATCGTCATCGTGACAAATTCGTCTTCTACTAAATTGCTTTTCTTACTAGAGCAATTCTTCTTTGACTAGAATAGAGGTAACATCAAGGATTGTCGAATGTAGAGGGTTCTCTCGATTGTATTTATTAATACATAAGCGGCTGTTGCCGACCATTCTTCTAATACAGGAGTAATCCTTTATTCAGCTGTTACGACACCCACGGGAAATAATAGTGTGGTATATTCGACCACACTTAGATGAAGATACATTGTTTTCTTGGTTATTTATATTTCAGCTGTGTCTTAGAGTGTTTTTGTAGCCTATTCGGTCCGGCCGTGCGATTTCAATTTTATTGCACAATAAAACAACTCAGGGAAGTACTTAACTTTTGTTCCAACTTTTCCGCAGTTAACTACGTTTACTTCCAAATGTAGTTATGAAGATTATAAACATAATCTATTTCTATTTATCTGTGTATAAAAAGGAATCGCAAAATGTGTTGGCAAGCGCATAACACAAAAACGAGATCAATTTTGTTAAATCACCTCAAAGCTGATTTTTCAATAGTCAGATAAATGTTATCTGAGAGATAATATTGTTGCTGTCACTGTCTTATTTTATTTTATTTAACCATTGAAAAATCAGCCCTATGTGTTTATTGTTGTGTTTGTTATTGTAAGCAGAATGTGTGTTTTTATAATATAAAAGATAAGAAAAGCAGAGGAATAAATGGGACATCGTGAGTGTGGTAAATAAGATCGAAACTAGAGTAACTCATACCGTAATACGAGGTCATATCCATTGGCACAAGCTGTACAAGGCGGTGGCACTTGGCGAGTTCCCGAAGCAGGAGCTGTGCCATGAAGTATAGGAGCACCAGCTGAGGCTGTTCCGCGCACCCGTCGCTCGTTGACCTGGATAACGAAGAATTCTTTACATTCTTGTACAAAAATATGAAAATAATACATTTTTGGAAATACTTATAAGTACGTGATTTATCTTTAGCTTCCGCCTGTGGCTTCACCCGCGTGGTATGTTGATATAAAGTAGCCTATGTCCTATTCCGGAGTATGTATATTCTATGCCTGTACCAAATTTCATCCAGATCCGTACAAATTTTAGCGTTATTGAGTAACAAACATCCAAACATCGTAACTTTCGCATTTTTAATACTAGTAAGAGTAAGATAAGACTTTATTTTTTTGTATATATTTGTACTTGTATGTTATGGGACTGAGAATGATATACTGCACCGCGTCGTGTGGTCCACATTATGTCGTTCATGCGAAGATAAAGGTAGTTCCGTCCATTTGTGACTCGCTACCGTAAATGCTTAAAGAATGGCGTATGCGAGCGACTTTTCCACGACCGAGAGATACAATAGTCTGTGAAACTTATTTTTTTTTATTTATTTGAACCCGGTATTTATATACTTATAATAGTCGAATTAATATAGGTACCTCATTATCTCGTTGACACCACAACATGATATAAAACAAAGTCGCTTTCTTTGCCCCTATATCCCCATATATGTATTCATAAATATTTAAAACTACGCAACGGCGTCAATTAGCCACAGCGTTGTATTTTGCCGTTTGAGTGAGGTTACCGGAGACCCATTCCTTCTTCCCCTCCCCAATATCAAGTCTCTGAACCCTTAACTCCAAAAGACCAGGAACGCACTCATAAATCCTCTAGTGTCTGTTTTACCAGTCCGTTAGTTTGCCGTCCTATCACATAAAAAAAGGTACTTACTGAATTTTACATACATATACTTAAAGATACATTTGCAAGTTGTTGATGAGTACAAAAACTTATCTTAAGCTTTATAATCTCCAAAACAACGCTAAGATAACTACAAGAATTAAGGTAGGTAACCACTGTTGTCTGAAACTATATAGTTAAACTTGGCAAAGCAAGTATACCTTTGCAGATAGGTACTATGAAAGTGTTTGAATTTAAAGTGAAACAGAGAACCGCAAATCATTGCAGGATTTCATAGTGTACAAAGTACATGAATAGATTATGAATAAATAAAAATGTTCATATTATAGCATCAAATACTCAAACGAAACTAAACTATAGAGCGAAGCTTAAATGAATATTTCGATACGAAAACCTATTGAATAGATTTTTGTTACACGACACTTCAAAGAGTTCAAAGTTACAATTTATTTCCAATCATTCAACATTACAGAGGCTACAGTAAAAATAAATTCAAATCGTCGTTACCTAATTCGTGAATTCTACGAATAAAACTCATTGATAGAAAACTTTTATCGGGTCGGGTCTTTTATTAGACCGCTCAGTAAATAAATTAAAATGTAACAAAAACTCTTTGGAACACAATACTCGTATTTCTCCATCAATCCTTTATCAGAACATCTGTTTTAGTTATACAGATTTACTTGTCTGCAGTGAAATGCAAACTTTTTGTGACGTAATTACTTCTCTTTGGGATTTGACATCAGAGACGGCGAATTGGTTCGCCTTTTGAAATGCAAATGGGCGGGTGTCATGTACCTACTTTACTGTAGAAGGATCAAGGCACATTTATCTGTTAAGGTGAATGTTTTGTATAGCATAAAGCAGAATAATGGAGCGTTGGAGCTCCAGGGACCAAAACCATGACGTTACAGGAAATCCCTGAACGAGCAAGAACAAAGAGTTACAATTTTAAAGAACATTTCGGCTGTACCGTAATTTTATACATAGCAGTAAATATAGTGAAAATTGTTTTTACACGCGTAAGTGAATAATACTGGGTGTATTGTTTTATGTTAAGCGAACGGTCATTTATCTAGTTAGGACGGCGCATTAATCTAACGGGAGAGACCGATTCGCAGCCACGAGGGAGATTCAATTCAGTCGCTCGCATCACTTTCTGTATTTCTTTTCGATTCTCTGTAATTTAATATTTACGTTATAAGATTACGAGGTTAAGCCAGCGTTCAATATTGATTTAAAGCAGTCGTTTTGTCAGAGACGGAGTGGTCTAAAATAAATAAACAACTACCGTTAACCCTTTTCAAACCGAGAAATCGGAATTTTTAAATCGATCTTCAATGTGATCGATTTGTATTCGTTGATGTGTGCAATGAAATAAGACCCGGCTCGTGTCTTGTAGAGCGCTGAACTAGGTGTTATCGATATATAGATTTATATATGTATACTTATATCGTACCTCATGAAAATGGAAATTGAAGGACGGGTACAACCATGCTACGTTCGTTGATAAAAAAATCTATTTTGTTCTTTTGATAAGGGTTTTTCCTTTGAACTATCGATAAGGTGTTATTTAATAAATAAAAGCAATCGAATGGCAAATAAGTAGTTGCTGGTGTTATTTTTATTTTAGACCCGTCATTATTATATTCTTTTAGGAGTTGGAAGGCGGTAACTTGTAGATTTGTTGTCAGTTATGAAATAATGATTGCCATTGAAGAAATTAAGTAGATTCCGTATCTAGGATAAGTTGTGAGTAAAGCAATGAGGGCATTAAGTTAGAAAATAAACTAAAGAAAATTGCCCGATTTATCACGAAATACCAAATAGTATTCATTTCTTTGCTACAGTTGTAAATATAAGGAGGGCCGTTATAATTTACAATCCCTTGTGAGTCATGCAGCCAAGTATGTAGCGTTGGGGGCAACCTTTTATCAATTATGTAAGCTGTTTTATTTTAATGAAAGTATATACTAGTATCTTTAACTTAACGTCAAAGTAGTTTATTGAGAGGATAATAAGGTATTATTCTTTGAGGTAATGTCTAAATGTTGTACTAGCGTAGAGGTGAAGGCCCGCCCGCTTCTTATACACAACGGTTTTAAACTTGGCAAGTACTATTTTTGAGTTCTGCTTACGTACTTTCTCAAATTATTTAGACACCACAGACAATAAATAGTGAAGGAAAAAAGTGAGGAAACCTGAATTGAGGAAACTTGAACTTATAATTTCAAATTATAAGTTTGAAATCACCAATGCGCCTTGAGAAAGCGTGGTGATGAATGCTCGACCTTCTCCGTGTGCGAAGGAGCTTTTGCTCAGCAGTGGGCACTTATAGGCTGATGATGTGAGTCTTTAATTATTTGTATTCTTTAGACCGACCACCTTATAGAAAGTCATTGAATGGTTGCTTAACCCCACCTACAGCGATTCCGGGATAGTGGGTGCTAGTGCCATAATGTACTGCGACCCCAGGCTGGACCAGGAGACGCAACGGTTTATATTTTAGTCAGTAAGAATCTAACATTTGTGAAATTTCATGGTTAATCTAGCCTCAAACAATCTTCTAGGAATTTTATTTCAAACAAAATCTTAACAAAGGAATAATTTAAGTTATCATTATATGATTCTAATAAGTACGACAAATACTCTTTTATGTCACAAGCTAGGTAAAAACACGAAAGACCTACTCAAATCGTGTGACAAAAATTGGCTAGGAATAGTTTTTTGAAAAGAGTGATAAATACTCAAGGATTACCTTTAGTGTATACTAGCATTAACGACTCATAATGCATACAAGTCACAATCCGAACTGAACCATCATTATTTATGAATTACATTAATATTAAATTATTAACATACATCCACAAATAATGGTTCCGTGCGGGAATCGTGATCTGTCACAACGTTAACCGTGCAGTCAATTTTGATCCCTGTTGCATATACAATAATGCATGTAATAAAATAAACTCCGTTCCGTATCCACTGACACAGTTTTGCTACCTCATGAAGCAACAGGCATAATGTTCGAGATATTTCTTAGTAGGTACCTATAGCTGCCTTTAACGTCAGAGACTGTGATGGGGTTCACAAGGGACCTCTTGATATACATGGAGGGGTTTTTGAGAAGGGTGAGCGTGCCTTTACCTATAAGTTAAGGTAACATAGGAACACCATGGGGATTTAATCGACAGGAGAAGCATTTAGCCCTTCACTCTTCATCAGGAATATTAAGAATTAAGCTATAAGTTTTTTTGTTTGGTTTTTGGCTGCTTTTTAAATAACGATTATGAGATGTTCTAGTAGATTTTAGATACACATGGATTTCATATTTGTGTCTGTAAGTAGGTCACAGTTATGATTGTCGTGTGGAGTTTTTACACGTCTGGATGGAATTTTAATTAATTATAAAAACAAGAAATTTACGCTAACAACTCCGAAAGCCAGAAATTTTAAATATTTTTTATCTGAAAAAGATAATTTTTGCGACGAAAATTTATTTCAATATTTCGAATTAATATGAAAAAAAAATCTGCTTACTTTTTACAATTAGGTAAAACTAGTTGGCTGGTAGTCTTGGTGGCTTCTACGCATGCGCGACGCAGTCGACGCACGCGCTCCCGCAGTTCTGGGCAGTCGTGTGGCTGACCAATGTGGATTAGTAGGTCGCGGAACAGCGCCAACTGCACGTTGATCTCCGTTATCAGCTGCAAAAGAAAACTTTAATTAGTAAAGTTTATGGTTCAATTTTCAACTAGTCAAAGTTAAGTGAGATGGGTCAATAAATTTTGGTCACACTTTGTATTATATTTTTTACATTAAATTATATTTTTCAACAATTGTACTACGAAAGTTCCTTAATGAGCTAGAATATTACAAATTGAATCACATTTTAATGAATATCATATAAGTAAAAAAAATAGATTAGTTTTCAACGTGAAAAATAAGAAATACACTTTGTTAAGTTTGTATAAACAGTAAACATTCTTTATTTGTAGAATATCAAAAAGTTTGATTTATATGATAGTTTTTGTTGACTTAAGAATACCTCAACTTAATTCATTGGCCATACATAGACGACTATATAAAGAAAAACATAATTTTAGATATTTTCCGACATAATTTTCTAATACGTACATTATGAGCCATTACGACATTAGAACCGAATATTTTGCTGGATCTGGAATACTGGCTCAAAACAATACATCACAGTATGTCACTCTTGGGACTACTGAGGACCGAGGCAGATGCAATTAAAACAAATGACAACGATCTATCGTAGTAGATGCCAGCTTTCAATACTTGGATGAGATGAGAGTTCGTTTAATATACGCTGACGTACGTGCGCTTCGATTGAGCCTACGTTATTTTTGAGGAGGAAGATATCATCGAATGGCTTTTCCTGCCCTGAAAGAGTCGACAGAGAGGAGAGAAAGAGAGAGATTGAGAGTGTCAGATTTTTATTGGCTAAAATCATACCTGGGTTATGTCTTTGCGTTTGACATGCATTAACGGAGCAATAGTGCACCTTAAATCAATGAACTATAATTGAAATTTCATTATACGAGGTTTTGATTTACGTCGTTACGTCTTAGAATCAGAATTATATGATTTTCATTATAGACGTGAATGAATAAAATATTCTATAACGAAGCATTTAAGTGCAAATCTTTATAATATTATAAAGCTGTAGAGTTTGTTTGTTTGAACGCGGTAACTTCCGGAACTACTGGTTTGAATTTAACCAGTCTTTTTGTATGTTTTAGTCAATTTATCGAGAAAGGCTATAGACTCAAAACATCACGCTACGATTTGTAGGAATCGAGAAGCGGGTGAAACCGTGCGTAAGTAGCTAGTTTTATATATGTATTGTATTCAAATCCTAATTTCCTAAATCGTAAGCCAAAATAAGCAAATACACGGTAATTAATGTTAAATTGCTTGTTTAAATATTTAATCATCAAACAGATTCGCTTAGTAACACTTTCGCGTACCTGTTATCGGATTTAGTAAATACGCAACCCAACCATTTTTGGGATTATAAGTGACATGTTTAAGTATATATATGTATATATAGAGGCTTATCTATCCGCACATTAATTCATGTATGAACTCTAAACATCTGATTAATAATGCAGGCTGTTTACTGACGTGTTAGAATTGATAATGAGACCCGAATAATTATGCCTATTAAACATTTAAATGGGATAGTTTTTTGAAGTTAGATTGAAAAAAAGTTTTGCTGTTTGCTTTTATTTTTAATCGGTGATGTACTGAAAAGGGTTTCTTGCTTAGTTTTAAATTATTTGTTGTTTTTAATCATAAATATTGAGATAAAACTTAACGAATAACTAAGCTAAATGTGTCACATTAAACCGCTGAATCAGAAAACTCCATTCCTATAATAATTTACCTTAAGCCAAAGAGTTAATTTGTTTGTATACACAAATCTTCAGTTCAAAATAAACAATAATTTTCTGTTGGACATTTCAGTGCTATAAAACGTCAGGCTACGACCAATAGGAGTCTAGCAGCGGGTTATTGTAAACTAGCTTCGGCCCGCGACTCCGTCCGCGTGGATTAATGACTTCCTGCAGATTTTTGGTATAAAAACTATCCTATGTCCTTTTTCAAGTTCCAAACTATATCTGTACCAAAGTTCACAGTAATCCGTTCAATAGTTTAGGCGTGAAGAAAAGAGACAGACAGACGGACCGACAGAGTTACTTTCGCATTTTAATATTAGTATTATAGATGAGTATTAAAGCAGTAGCGGGAAAAACCGAGTGGGAGTAGCTAGCTATTCTAATAAAATTTTAGTAAAGCTTGACTGGAGAAGAAGAATGAACTGAATGAATACTCGAATTGGGTGGCGATAAAGATAAAGTCTTTATTTGCCATTGAAACTAGGAGGTAGTGAATACCTTTGTTCTGCACACATTGGGCCGATCGCCAAACGCCATTCACATTTTACTAGGCTTCCTCACTTCTACTTTAGTATAAAATTTGAAACTCACATAAAATACACTTGAAATTTTAATAAAACTTTTACAATATAAGGTAAATTTTCGAATTCGACCTAAATTTATAAAATAATAGAGTACTAATTAACCGTACATTACTTTTATTTTCTAGACTTGTATTGTAGTTTGATAATTATTTATTGAATTTGTTTTAGAAAATAAAATTTAAATTAATAGATATACGTTTTAAAAAAATATATTAAAGAAAGTTGCCCCACTCTAAAATATTCACATCCTGTAGGTTAGGAGCGTGCGACATACAATCTCTACTGACAAATTGTGGACCTCACAAAGAGTTGTTCCGTGCGGGAATCCAATCCGTGACACGTTGCACGGCTCGATCTTAAACTTTGTCTAACAATGATATTCGGATGTTGAAAGCTGTTTTTATACACAAAAAACAGATGTTCAATAAGTACAGGGGACGATTAATAAGAGAAGTCACATTGTTATTCGATTCCGAACCTTATGCTCAAAAAGCGCGGCAACATTTTCAGAATACTTTTGTAATAAAAGACAAATGGCAGACAATACAAAACTCTTTTTATTTTGAGACACAAAAGGAGCACATGGATTCAAACAGACGGCTTCACGCGAGGCCACATGTACATATAGTAATCAATTTGGTGTTTGGGCACGACCGAATTTACGAAATCGAGCGAAAAAACGTAATGACGCAGTGTTTCGGTCGGGTGCGATAAATCGAGAAGAGAATTCGGCAGAAGTAAATACACGTTGAGTTTAGTGTAATTAGTAGCGAGTGGACCTTCGCCCCGTCGTCAGCCGCAGGACAAGCGTCATTTTTCAAACCTTCCGATCGTAGCTAGAACGGGTTTCATTTTATCCGAGCTTTAAAAATAAATGCTCCCTTTTCATTACCTACGAGTTTTTTTATTTTGGTCTTAATATTATAAAGAGGTCATATTTGTAAGTTTGTATGTAGGGGGCAGGGGGTAATCTTTGGAACCGCTGGTCGGATCGCCAAAATTCTTTAACTGAGAAATAGCTTGTGCAATGTTTCTGAGTGCTATAGGCTATAAAACATCACGCAACGGTTTAATGGAGCCGAGCAGCGGGTAAAACCGCGCGAGAGTAGAAAGTAATTTTATAAAACGACTTTATCATAACTAATCCTTTAGCGAATTTCTTAGATACATAATATCCGACCTTTTGAAGTTTTCATCAGAAATATTTTTTTATCAATACTATATTGACACACAGCTGACACTAACACATGCTGTTATTCATAACCGGATATAACCGGCTCGAAATGCCAAACTCGAGGTACGGACACGCGAATGATCAATTTCATAATTTATCGAGTAACACGATCGAGTTCAACGCTCAATGTTTTTATAAAAGGGAATATGTTTTTTTTTCTAGCAAACCTTTCAACGAATTACGACTTGAAATCTATTCCCCTTTACTGTTTTATAGGTGTCGTGTCACTGCCATGGTGTATGGTTTTATAGCTTTTATATAACGAAAAAATATACGACATCAATTTATACGGAAGGTCAAATACCGCCCAACTACTCAATTTATTTTCACAATACCTATTTTAGGAGTAGGTAAATCTACTGACTTATGTGATTTCTGGTTGTTGCCAGATTTCATTAGAAGAATTAAGTTATTATAATATTTAAATATTTATAAATTATAATATTTAGCAAAGCCGACAACTACACCACTACGTGTCAGAATAAATTGGGCGAAGTTTTGTAGTGCTGTGAAAGTGAACATACAAATACAATATCGATGTTAATATTAGAATGCACACCTTCACGACGTTGGAGGTGCTAGGGTGGGATCAACATTTTTTTTTTATTAAAATCATATGACTGTTTTACAGGAGTGATTAGAATATTATTATTTTTTAATCATACGAACTAGTGCTTGCCTGCATTTGCACCTGATTAAGTAGGCGTGATGATAAGGCGCAGTAGTTTATTACGAGCCTTATTCACTCTAACCTTGAAGACACCTAAATTATAACAGGACGGGCAGACCGTTGCAGGCAAGCTTTTCCAATCTAATTTCCTAATTTCCAACAACGAAGCGAAACGCGTATACCGGGCCAGATGGTAGATGTCTTGACAATGTAAGGATGGGTACCCGCCGGATTGACCGATGGTAGAAAAGTGATGGGGAAATGAATGTCTCCGACTTTTCTGCTAGTGATCGTATGACGCAAATATAAACGAATACATTTCAGTACAAGTGTGTGTTCAGAAAGGATTTATCGAAAGCCAACACCTATGGATAGTAAAATATAAATAGTGGGAAAAGGTCAAAGAACTACATCGTATTTCCTTTGACAGGGAAGTTTTTCAATATGTATTAATAGACTTTAGCTCGTAAATATGAATAATGGAAATTTAAAATAACTTGACTTTTATTTTTATATTTACTTGTGGCAGAGTATTATATGGTCTTATTCTGTTAACTATTTCTCAATAAAAAGGGGTGAATTTCGTGAAATTTTTATTTTTGTCCGAAACTACTTTCAAGTATTAGCTCTAACATTATACCACTATTATATACGCGAAAGTTTATGGGTAAGAATGGATAGATTCTTTATTCAGAAAAAAATACAGAACGGCCCCCAATGAAATTTGGCGTACAGGTAGATAGACTGGAAGAACACATCGCTTACTTTTTTACCCTGGTATTAAGAGTGAAATTGAAGACAGAAGCTAGTACTCGATAATTTTCAAAGCATAGTATTTCGAGTCAATAATATTTACATTCAAAAGTTATTCATCACAGTCATCAGTGTCCCATCCCTACTTTTATTAGGAACCACAAAATAAGTTATAATATTCGCGTGATATTCGTTTGACATGTCACTTAACATTCACCTGTATAATATTTTTAATGTCCACTCTATGACTGGGTACGCCTGTAGGCTGCTGCTCAAAATAGACGTACTATAATCGTTCTATTCGGTTCAACTCTCTCAAAGCCCTTGGCCGAGAGGCTAGAGGGTGCGTTGGCTTGTTTTTACATTCATAAAGCTAAATTTTTTAATGTAGGCTGATCTGAAAACAAATTGCTGCCGCTCTGATACGATAATGTACGATTGTTCATTGCTCTTGTTTCCCAGAATTTAGTTTATCAAGTGATTAAAATATACAGATACTCTGAGTATGGTTTTTTTATGTATCCCCAATATAGGATTTTCTCCTGTGTCGTGGGTGCGGTTACAAACACACAATTTTACATACACATGACACCTAGGCCCGGAAAAACAATTTGTGGGTCACACAAAGAGTTGTTCCGGTGCGGTAATCGAAGCCGCAACACGTTGCACGGCAGCCAGTTGCTCAGCCACCGCACCAACCGTGCAGACAATGTCAGGTTTATGTTCTTTGTTCGTCTCGTGGTGGCCCGGAGTTCATGGCGCCTGCTTTTTATGTGTGAGCGTGCGGGTCTGAATCCTGGCAAGTACCAATAAGACTTTTTCTGAGGTATATATTATACTTTCTATGATTATTTAGACACCACTGATAAACGGTAAAGGAAAGCATCGTGAGGAAACCTGGAATTTCTAATTATAAGTTTGAAATCGCCAATCCGCCTTGAGTATGCGTGGTGATCAATGCTCAAATCAAATTACTTCTCTCACTATTGGTGAGGCGAGAGATGTTAGACTCTTCCTGACTAAAAACTATCCCGTTCCTTCTACTCTTGGCTGGGGCCACGGTACAAATTTGCACTTGATCCAGCCCCGGCTGACGTTTGGTAGGTAATGAATGAAAAAGGTAGTTTACCTGAAATATGAAATTAAACTAGTTTTTTTTATGTGATAAGTCGGCAACCTGGACTTATAATTTCTAATTATAAGTTTGAAATTGCCAACCCGCATTGAGCAAGTGTGATGATTAACGCTCTAACCTTCTCCGTATGAGAAGAGGCCTTGGCTCAGCAGTGGGCACTTATAGGCTGATGATGATGATGATGATGATGAAGTCGGCAAACGAGCCAACGGATAACCTGATGGTAAGCGATCAGCGCCGCCCGTGGGCATCCGTAACGACGGAAGAGTTACGAGTGCGTTGCCGACCTGTTAGGGATTAGGGATTTGGAGATTTTGGGCATGAGGAGGGATTGGGGGAGGAAAAGGATTGGGCCTCCGATAACCTCAATCACACGGCGAAACACAACGCTGTGGTTGTTTCACGCAGCCGAATGTAGTACATTATATAGTATGTCATGTTCCAGATTTATTATCTACATTTCAATTCGTTCAGTATATATAATATCAGTAGTATTATAACAATATCCTGACGTAAACCTGTTACAAAACAGAAATGTTGTTCTTACGCAAGCGATAGTAGGGTCGCGTGTGGCATGGTTTTGACGGCCAGATAACTAACACAAATGGAAAATAAGGCGTGTATTTATTCAAACAACGATTTTATGATTGCTTTTTGTTTCCAGAACACTAACGGACATCGTTCAAAATTTAGAAACTGTTCTTTTTTGGCTTTATAACTTTATGCTAAGATGTGTTGTGGGTGGTTTATAATAACAATTAATAGCTGTTCGGTACTCTCGCTGAAACTAAAATATCTGGACCAAATTAGTTAATTTTGATCTGGCAATATTTACTTCGAAAGAAGGTTTTATCTATTATAGTCTATTTTTGAGGACTTTAAGCGGTGAGTAAATATTAAAATAAGTCGCATGTAAACTATTAAAAAGGGACAGTTTTCTTACCCATAATAACTGGTCTATTTATCATTAGATATTCCACAAAGAACAAAATTGTTTTATTATTGTTTTTTTTGAGGTGGTACTGAGTTATTCACGTCAGTTAATCACATAATTATAATTCCTTATGCACATGGTATGTCTTCCATTATGAAATGGTAGTAACCAATGTGAATTATACATTTACAACAAATACCTATTTGTTTTGTTGTTGCAGACAGTAACTTCTTTTCGATTAATACTAAAGTGGGGTTGTATGCTAAACAGAATTTAAAATACTTCTTTTCAGAACTTTATAAAAACAATGAACTCCAAAATAAGGAAAGTGAACGATAGAGGAATCAAAAACAAGCACCTCTGCAGTCACGCAACTTGGCGAGAGGCACACATTTCAAAACGCACCTATTCACAAAGCTACCGAAACCATTTAAGAACACTGACGCTAAGATTAGGCTCTTTTAGGGACCACTTAAAATACGTACTGGGGTAATATTTTAGCGACGAGAATAACAAATGGTTTGCATCAAGAGTGGCTTTATGCGTGGTCTGTGCTGCCGACTAAGACATATGACGATCTCACTAAAACATGAGAATTCTCATGTTTTAGTACGGCACGGCTTTATGCGTGGTCTGTGCTGCCGACTAAGACATATGACGATCTCACTAAAACATGAGAATTCTCATTGTTTAGAATTTGTCTTCTTTTAGTGAGACTAGAATCGCTTGTTTTGTAAATCCTTTTATCCTAGCATTTCTTTGTAGCTTACTTCGAGTTCGTTTAAGTAGTCTTTTGGGGTATTTAGGTACAATGTGCCCTAAAACCAGGATTTTTTTTTGCCTTCGCCTGATAGGGAATGCCTAACTCTTACTGACTATAAATCACCCTGTTTCTTCCTCTGCTTCAAGCAGGCTGCCCTACCACAACCCCGGCTGAACCTCAGCCCATCAGGGCTTCATCTGCTGTGGCCTGTTCGCTCTTTGCACACTTAAACCGGGTTCTTAGTATATGTAATAGTCAAGTTGTGAAGTCAAGTCTCAAGATCGATTTGAACCTATTAAATAAATTTTTACCTATGATTTTCTATTTAAGTGAATGTAAGTGACGTTCAAACGCATCACAGATGACCCGATACACCTAATTCATGTAAAGACAAAAATATTTTTCAAATACACTCCTCCCTGTTCTTTACAAACAAGACATCGATGATCTTTGAGATCCGCATTTAACCGGGTACGTGACTTGTCAAGTAACAGAACGTCTGACATCTCATCTCCGCAACCTTAAGGCAAACTTATGCAGGCGGATGTTTTTGTTTATCTACCGTCTTATATATTAATATACTCTCAGTAGACGCTCCTTATTAGCGAGCAAACATGAAAGGTTTCTGCGTAATCGATTGAGTACAAGCAACGATGCTTTTAAATTGCACGACAATAAATAAGACGACGTATAAAGAATAATGAACTATGATAAGTAGTGCTGTATAGTTGTTTTGACGTGGATGACTACTTCCAAATTTTGGGTAATGAATGTTTAGATTTAGTAATTTTTGTACAATCTGGAAATATACATAGTATATCAAATATTGAAGTCGTATTTTCCATGGAAACTAGACAGTCGGTATTACTATACCAATAAAACTTACTTTTCTTGCATAATAATACAGATAAAAGCTGCCCACATTTCAAACCATCCCACTCAATTTTATTGCGAATATAAAATTTTAAAACAGAGTTGGAATTCTTAACTAAAATATTTCTCACAAAGGACACAAATTCATAAAGACATAATTGGCGGGAGCAAGGCGACACTGGTCAAAGGGATATAATTAAAATTCAGTTGAGCTATGACAAAGGGAATTGCATAGTCAAACGATCGGGGAACGGTAAGAGGCCGATGTCATGACGCGGTTTTATCCACTTCCCCGGGTTATACCGCAAATTGTAAGATCATAACAATGGAAAGAAAGGGATAGCTTCCGCGCAGTAAAAGGGTTTTGGTTCTACCGGGTCAGCCATATTGTGTGGCAATGCAATAAAATTTACTAATTAATATAAGGGTCTGTTATATTTGTATAACGATTTTATACAACATTAATGTAGCAGTAAGGTATTTGGCGGCAATGTAAAACTGTTAGTGTTTGACATAAAAGTGTTCAGTATCTCTATTGTATCGTTTGAAGTGAATACTGCTAGCGATCTGGTAAATTTGTCAAAATGTCGAACCAATACAACTCCTTTAGAAAAGCATTTTTCTCAGAAACTGTGACTTTAAGTCAGGTGACATTTTAAAATATTTGTACAACATATTTCACGATATTTCGAAGATCTCAGAACTAAGGATTTGTGCTATTGTTCGAACGATCACAGGCATACAAAATGTCATATCCAGTTTGAACAACCGTGTATGTAAGAATAGACTTTCTGATAATATTTTGTCAAATTTCTTTGGAACGGAACATTATAGTGAGATCATAGAGTAAGTTTACAGTTGGTATTAAAAATGTTTGCGCCATAGTTTTATCATTCTTAAAGACAGGTGCGCAGGGGTTCACCATATAATTGTTAAACCCTTTCGCCGGTTCAGTTAATTATTATTAGTCTCAGGAAATAAGGTACACTAACTCAGTGTTCAATTTTGGGACATCGAATTTCTATATATATGTAAGTAAGTAGGTATGTAAAAAATATTTTTAAAATTAAGGCAAAGTTTCTGAGACACTCTTTTGGTCATATATTTTATGAGTCATATTCATAAAGGTATAAATGTTTTAAAATTTGTAAAAATATCGTGTAGGGCGTCAATTTTCTTTCCCACACAATTTTGTTACTAATTTATAAGTTTAATTAGATATATAACAAAGAAAAAAGGACTGTGATTTCGCCGGGTATTCAATATTAATAACGACACTGAGACATTCTGGTACTCTCATGTTTGTAATAGTTCTACTAAGGAGTTAGTTACATATTATAAGTTACACGAGGAAATACAATAATTAGTAAAGTTATTAGATGCTCGTTACTGAATAATATAAAAGCGACAACACAATATGACCATTGGTTCTCATTCAAGGTACTTTGCTCATACACAAAGAAATAATATCATTAAGTATTTATTTAGAGGCCTTATGATACAGGTTGTTATTCTTATTAGAGAATACATCATATTATATTTGCTGACCTTAGTATGTTTGTTGCGCAATTACTCGAAAACAACTGAATAAACTTAGAGCAAAGATCATGACCTAGGATGGCTACTACTACTATTAAAAACTCAATAAAGACTTACTTGGTTATGATGTAAGTACAGTCTAACCGCTAAACTCAGAGTCATTTAATTGTTAATTAACTTAGCCCTTACAGATTGTTTTCGCAACAAAATCGATACTAAGAAGTAGATTAAGTATACCTACGTTAATGTCTGTGAGGTCGGTTGTAAAAGTAGGTATTATATTAAAACTAAATTCTGACATCTATCACAAGGCGGATTTATAACTAAACTATAATTTAAAAAATGACAAATGAATTTTAGTCATTGTCACAACACCAAAACTCTTTGACTCTTATCTGTTTCCCGGCCATATCACAATATTTGTCGTACGAATTTAAAATAATAATAAAAGAAGAAAGCATATTTTTGTCATTGAAAAGTTCCAAAAGACTGCCACCAAGCTTCAAACATCCGCTTCGTCACTTCAAAGTGTTTTAAAAGTTCAGAGGGGAAAAATGGCGTAGAAGAAAAACTGACGTAAGAAAAACTTTTCTGTGACGTCTAACGTAGGTTTTTCAAAATGACGACATTTTAATAAATACTCTTTATTATTGTCAGGCTAGCTTTTTTCTAGTTTCATTGTCTCTTTATTATTTATTATATAAGTTTATCTTTAGTGTAATTCATGCTGTGCTTAGGTACCCATAAGAAATAGTTACACAAGTTCAATTATAATTAATGTATTTAATATTCTATGGTAAACATAATAAAGAAACGGTGGTGGGTCAAATAAATAAAAAAGTTTTACAGCGTGATTTTCATGGTGGCCCGAAGGTTAACGTGCCAGCTTCTCTGCAAGGCTGCTCGTGCAAAACCTGGCAATCCGCAATGACACTTTTCCGATGCATTTACTCAGCATTGGTTAATTTAAGGCTGATCATGATGATGATCATCATGATGATAATAAATACCTCATCACAAACGCCTAGTATACTTTGGTTATCCTGGATTATTTTTATAATCAGATAAGTCAAATAAGTTTTAATGAGTTTGGGCTACTGTCTTATTCAGACAGCACAGGTTGAATTTCACACTAGAACTAAGGATATTTCGATCGGATCCTAACTGTTTTGTAGTAA